ACCTGTTCTGCCTCTCAGCCACTGAGCCTGCCTGTTCGCGTCCGAATGGTCTGCCTGAACTGTCTGTGGAGTCCTAGAACCCTGAACCAGCCTGTTACTGTTCTGATCCATTTCCCTGGCCTGGCTCGGACTCCTGCGTGTTCTCTGGGTCTGCAATATTTGGGACACTCTGGGCGGCCGCATCTTGTTGGCAGCCAACCGGCTTGATCCTACCTGGTTCTACCTGGATGGACTGAACTGTTAAACCAAGTCAGTGACTCAAATGGGTGATTATCCTCCATCAGATTATCCTGGTCACTAACCTGTGCTTTTCGCCAACAGTTTCCAGTTACAGATCCTCTATCTGCGGTTTCCACAGATCCACAGTCCACTATGTTTAAATAAATGCTTTGAATTATCCCACTGTCTGTTTCGCTTTGAAAACTGGGTCCTTCTGTCCTGTGTCAGGTTTTATGCATATAAATCCGCTTAAATTATCTGGATCAATGGTTTTTTATATGTGTTGTATTAAACTATGACATCTGAATATATAGCAATATGATTTAGACATTTTTTTTTATGCTGTTGCTTCATCCTCCAAGTCGTTTGAATCCAACAAGTGCTCAGGCTGTGCAAGTGGACCAAACATTGGCTGTACCATGGAAATGTAATTGCATCTTTTTGTTTCTTTGTCCAGGACTCAACATGTTTTTCTGCTCTTAGTGATCTTCTCATAGTGGTGGCGGCAGAGCTTCAGAAATGAGACTAACCATGAGGGTTTTTTTTCTGGGCGGAGAGAAACAGAATGGGGGGAGAGAGATAGTGACCGTAGCAGCTCACTGACTGCTTCCTTCTCAGACAGAGCAGGTTAGTGGGATCTATCCATGCAAGGAAACCCTGAAGAAAGGAGAGGACAACAGAATCTACTTCATAACCTGGATTTTGGTTTGCATTTTTTTTTTGTTTGTTTTTGGACTCATCCTGATCCGCTTCTTCCTGCTGATCGGCATTATCTCTCATTATTGCAATCGGACTCATCTCCTTTTGTTTCGCGCTGCGGTTTTGTCCAACTTCTGCCTCCCTCTTTCAGCGCAGAGGAGGCGCTTCATTTCTGCGTTTTTTGTGTCGTCCTAAACGGAATGAATGACCAAAACAAAGGAGGTTGATGTCCATAATTCTCCGACTCACCTCGCCTTCGCCTCGCCCAAGGAACGGAGACTCCATCTCCGGCAGAAGATGGAAAGCGGCGGGACGGAGGCGCAGCAGCAGCAGCAGTCACCCCGGGCTGAAGCGGCTGCGCTCCCCGCGGCGCAGCGCGCTCACACCGGCGACAAGAAGAAGGTAAACCGGGCACCCTCTCCGGCGAGACCGAAGGATGTACCCGGATGGTCGCTAACGAAGATCCGCGGAGGGATCGGGTCCGCCTCGCTGAGCGTCAAACCCGGAGCCATCCATCTGGGCAGCCGCGTTTCCAGGCGGAGTCCCGTGGGTAGCCTCACTGGGAAGGACGGCAAAGCCGAGAGGGGGGGCGGTAAGCCGGCAGGAAAATCCTCCCCGCTCTCCAAGACTTCGGCTTTCAAAGCGGCGAAAAGCGGCAGCGGTCGGAGGAAAGTGTCGGACGCCAGCACGGGATCCGAAGACCTCTCCAAAGACTCCGGCTGCGCCGCAGGGAAGCTGTCCCCCACAGACAGCAGCTCCGAGCTTTCCGACTGCGCGTCCGAGGAAAACAAACTGTCCGCGGATGCTGCGAGCAGCGACGCGGAGTCCAGGAGCAGCAGAGGTCCAGAAGGAGAGCAGCCGCTCAGGGACAGAGCCGCTCAGAGCAGCTGCTCCAGAGACGACAAGGACCGACTGTGTCTGAGCATGGAGGCCGGGGAGGAGAGCATCTCACCCGGCGAGGAGAGGTCGGTCACCTCGATGGAGAGCAGGGTTCCTGCCAGCACATCCCTGGCTTTCTCAGACCTCACAGAGTTCACTGATGGCATGCATGAGGAATACCTCAGGGAAATAGAAGAGCTCAGATCTGAAAACGATTACCTCAAAGTAAGTACTTCATTTTTCTATTTTTTTTTCTATTTTTTACTTATTAAGTCAGCTATATTATCCAATCCCATGTATTGCTTTTTCCGCAATAGCTGCACACGTGTATTTGGATTATTCTGGTTTTTCCTTAATCTGAAGATTGTTTTGGGAACCTCTTCTGTGCATTTCAAGGACGATTAGGTTGTTGTGACTAAAACCTAACAAAAACGACTCTATATCATGTTTATTAACCATTAATTAACTGGATTGTTACAGGTTTTTTTGTTTCATCTTATAGTGCATAAGGATGTGAAACATTTGAGCTGTACTGTACAGTATGAGAGCACTTTCCTTAGAGACCCTTTTTAGAGCTGATTTTGTGCCACCCTCCACTCTGCTTCCCCTCCTCTCTCTCCTAAAGCTCTTTTTTGCAGTGGATATGCAGGCAGAAGGCTGAATTACCTGTATGTTCTCTTTGTACTTGGAAGTTGTATTTTCTGGCTTCCTGATAAGCAATAAAATAAAAACACACACCCTAAAGTTGAAGATCCAGCTGTTAAAGTCTGGTAACACAGCAGAACCTTAGTTGAATATCCAGTATGGCGGTTGTGTTGAAATCATTGTAAAAGTTGCACCATTTGCAGTTATGACTCCTTGAACGTGATCCATTTGTTTTGGATTCATAAAATGGTGGAAAAATAGTTTAATCCATTTTAATAAATCGTTATGGTAATTTAAAAAAGCAGATTTCTATTGGATTTTTGATGTTCAAACCACAACATGTGACATACACCCATTTCACCCAGCAGTATTCTTTGCCTCAATGCTCGGTTGAGTCATTTTATAGTTATTTTTGTTAGTTAGTTTAGTTATTTTGATATCTAAACCAACCCTGCTCATATAGCCAAATGACTTTCACTAGTGGCTCTGTCAATACTGCTACCATTTCTGTTCAGAAGGAAGCTCTCAATACACGATTCATAAGAAGAGATACAAAAAGCAGCATTTATTTTGTTTGTCGTTATGAGAAAATTGCTGTTTTACACATTTAAGATTATGCCTTTAAAGCTACTGAAAAAATTTAACTATAAACCAAATACTGTGGACTAACCTAACCAAAAACATTTTACCTTAACACTGCATTGCTTATATGCATACATTATAATAGACAAATATGTAGATATTATCAGTTTTTAATAAATAAAGACTGTTTTGGGTCCTACAGACTGCCCGCAACCATTAAAAACCAATCCACTGGTCAATCCTACCTGGAGATTGACTGATTAAAGGAAAGATCAATTAGGGAACATGTCCCGGAGCTGGGTCTGACCAGACAAGCACAGTAATTGTCAGAGATTGATTGGGAACAGTGACTGATGAGGAAGACTTGGCTCTGTGTCAAACCCAGGGAATCCTGGAGCGAGACTCTCAGTTGTTTCCTCATCTTTTTGTTTTTCCAAACAGTTTTTCCCTGACCGCTCAGTGTTTAGTCAATGCATGTTTTAGAAATATGTTAAAAGCCATTCCTGAAATGTAATAACAATGATCATTATTTCGACATTTATCTGTTTTAAGGCTTTAGAATTCTTTTTATAATTAAAGAATGCAGTTGGAAAAAAGTAAATCACTAATGTGTGAAAAGACTAAAGTTTTTCTCTCTTACTTTGACTCACCGTCCTCTGAATGCTGCTGTTTTACTGTGGCAGATCTACCTATTTGAACTGCAGCAAAGCCTCCTGGGAAGTGAAGCTAATCTGTTGTTGCAGCTGTGAGAAACGACTGGTCAAAGATCTAAACAGCCGAATGTTTAAGCATCAGATTACCAGACTTGGACTCAATCCTTATTCTAAATCTAAATCACCATAAAGCCTCGTTTTCCACTCATTGTCATTGTTTGGTTGACATTTTAAGGCTCTAGCCTGTCTGTCTGCATCTGTTTAACTTTCAGTTGGTAAGTCTCCTATAAACAGCTGTCAGCTGTTGAAAGTCTCCTAAGTGAAGACTCGGAACCCCAGCTTGTTTAATTTCTGTCTAAAAATCTGTGGTTACGGTTTGGGGAGAAGTACTACTGGCTGTGCATACTGTCCATCTATGGCTCTGTTAAATTTAGAGTGTTTTTCCTTCAGGTACAAGTATAGACATTAAAGAAGATTTTGTCCCCGGCTTTGATTTAGTTCTTGAGGAATTTCTGTCCTGTGTTCGTCTGATGTTTACAAGATCTGCATCAGTGAAGCTTTTATGGATGAGAAATAGGTCAGAACTAAATTTACGCCATTATACGTCATTCATTACAGGCAACATATTTCATGTTTCTTAAAAAGAGGATGGTTTGTTTCTTCTTTAACAATAAAAAAATCCCCTAAATATACCTATAAAGAGCTGCAGCTGTGGATTATTTTACTAATTGATTAACTATTAAAAAAAAACCAACTTAACTGCACGTTTTAAATGAACTGTGAATAGAAAAGCTGTAATATATGCCATATTCAAACAATATTGAATGAAAAATGTTTTATATTATTGTAGAGACCAATATTAAAGCCTGCGTAGTATTACTCTAGGTAACAATTCCATTCGATTTACAGTTGATGATTATTTCACAAATCTATTGATTACCATTAATCTAGTTAATGGTTTTATTCCTCTACCTATAAATCAGGATAGATCAGAAGACAAGGACAAAAAAAAAAATGCACACAAATCCTCTAACAGAACTAATACTGTTTGAGGATAGAAGTTAAAGAAGATAGATTAGGATTAGAAAGAGGATATTTTTTAAAAGAAAAAGATGAAAAATCTTGTTGTGATGTTAAAATGGGCCTCAGTTTGTTCAGATTTACATGATCAGTTTGTGTTTTCCTGCATTTCCTGAAACTCTTGTTTCTTTTCACATTTAAAGAACTGGAGTCCTCAAACTTAGACGTGTGAAGCAAGTAGTAGCCTCGGTTATCAGTCCTTCTGTCATGGGAGAGATTCTTTCTACCTCACTTATCTGTCATGCATCACTTCTGGAAAAGGCTGAGTGATTCACCTTAACAGGAAAATCTGAAGGACTTCCTAACAGTAAAAAAAATGATCAAACCTCTTAAAGCACTGATCATTTCCAAAATCATGAGCCCATTTCATTTTAGCAAAGTGTGGTTTGCTCCTGCAGAGATACAATGTTCGTTGGCATGTTAGTTTACTGAACGTCTAAGTTTACACAGATATTTAACTACACACATATGCAGCCTGTTCACCAGTTTTGTGACCTCTGAAGAACTTTTTTCACCTATTTTTAATTTAGATCTTCTTGTTTCTATTATGTTATATCCTTCCCTGTATGCTGCATCTGTGCAGTTTAAAAAAGAAAAGACAATATCAATCATTTTCCATGATTTAACCATCTGATCCTTGGAGCTGACAGCTGATTGGTTGATTTCTTCTCCTGACTGGCTCACATGACGGAGACAATCTTTCCTTTTCTTTCTTACTTAGCTGTAGAAAGCAGGTCAGTGGAGCTAACTCTCTCTGCTGCCACATTAACTTGTGATTCCCTGGTTTCCTGTCCTTTCTTTGCCTCTTCTTCTCTGACTTGTTTCATCATCTTTATGCTCGTTAGGTCAACAAGCTTAGAGTGGGATTTGTTTTTACCCATTTGTGTGTCTGTTCGTTAATCTTGTTGGATTTTCTCTTTATTTTACTCAATTATTTCATTTGCTCTACTCCCTCTTTCCTTTCTGCAATCATACCCTGACTCCCTGTATTAAACATTTGCACATGTGCTTCTTGAAGAGCTGAAAGCTTCCTGCTGCTGTTATCTGAGTTTCATCAGCAGACGTCTTTCATCACATCCCTATCACACACTATGCTGCATTATGATCCCAGAAAGTTAAAGATAATCTCCTTCTGTGTTCTTCTATGATAAAAACATACAAACATTAACACCAGAACGCACACCCAACTAATAAAAAATGCATTTTTAAACTGTTGGATTGAAAACATTTGTAAAAAGCTTATTCTGTTTCAGGAACAAAGAGATGCAGCAATTATTTGTCCCTCCTCTTGAGCCGCTTCCACATTTTTTTCTTTTTGGCAAATTTTGTTTCTGAAAGTATTGCATCATTTAAGATAAACATCGAGATACAATAAAAAAGATTCAAAATCTTCCTTTTAGTACTTCTATGATGCCAGCCTTACCTACTGCTGAACCCACTTAAACTCATTCCATATTCCACGCACACGCCACACATCCCCAGAGCTTGTTGTTGCTACAGCAGCAGCTCTGCAGGAGCTGACCCAAATTATCCACTCTAGTAAATGGTGTCAGTACTACTACAACTCCTACTGCATCCCATTCCCTCCTGCTCTCCTATTATCCTCGCGCATGTGCTTGCATGCAGAGGTTTTAGCCAACGCGTGCCTTCTAGTCTCCGAGTCGTTCTATGGTGTCCCACCCGTCCTGCTTTCGCATCAAGACGAGCGAGCCAAACCTCTTCTGCACACACGCCCACGACACTACTGAAGAACTGCACCCTAAAATGTGATTCAGAGATGAGGCAATTTGTGCTTCTGGGTTGAAATGAGTAACTGATCCTTGTTGCAAAGTTACATTGGATCCCTTCCTGATGTTTTTTCATGTCCCATAGAGTTTTTCTCACACAAATCTAATTATTAAGCAGTTATTAGCCTGATGAGGAGACAATAAGAGGTTCCAAGCACAAGCTCTGGTCTTTGAGGTTATATTGATAATAAGGTCAATGGGATGATATTTTCAGATTATTGCCTCACCTTAGTGGTAGGAGGTTTTAATAGCCCTTCATAAATGTTGAAGGATTCTCTTTATGTCCATGTAATGTTCTCACCTTGTAACTGCGGTCCACTCTGCACAGTCTATTACCATCGAATATGCAGTTAAAAACATCTGACTGGAATTCCAATGAAAACAGGCCTCGCTTTTTTTTAACTCCCCCCCTTTTTTTTCACGCTCCAGGATGAGATGGAGGAGCTGAGGTCTGAGATGCTGGAAATGAGGGACATGTACATGGAGGACGATGTCTACCAGCTGCAGGAACTGCGCCAACAGCTGGAGCAGGTAAGATGCAGACGGCTGTTATTTGCTCTGCAATGTCGGCTGGAAACTTCAAAAGGAAAATCTGGTGCATGGTTTAAAGCGAGACAAAGGGTCATCAGTTGTCTGATAGGAGCTTTTTGATGCCGGGGAAAGATTAGTTTAACAAAATGATCCCCAGGCTTTCCTTCAAAGTGGCGTCAGCCTTTCATTTTATAATACTTAAACATCGAAACACTGTTTTAACTCTGGCAACATTATGTCCTTACACTTACAGAAATGCTCCCAATTATTACTAAATGTCTCTTTATTAGTCAGCTGACTGCTCATGTTGTTTTTATGTAGTCAAATAGAAGAAGTTGTGTTAAAGATTATTTATTAACAATATTCTGCTTAGCTCAGATAAACAGCATTTCATTGATTGCATCTAAATATCCAGTGATTTGCATTTTGTTTTCTATCGACACTTCAATTTAAAGCAGCTTATAAAATAAAGACATCATTCAACTTTAGTGGTATAAAAACAGGATCTATTCAAAACTGTAAATCTAGTATCCCTCTAATAGGCCAATGCCAAACAAATCCATTCAGTTGGCTGCATTTTATAAATGTGCACAAATTTATCAATTAACACTGTAAACAGATGTGTTCTGAGCAGTTTGTTTCAGTAAAGGTAACAGATTTAGTGTCATTTTGCATAAATGTTTTGTTGACTGCATCTAAATGGCTTAGAAAAATGTCTGATAACATTATTTGTTTTTTTCCGGTCAGGCAAATAAAACCTGCCGTATCCTGCAGTACCGCTTGAGGAAGGCAGAGCGGCGCTCTCTCCGCGTGGCTCAGACGGGGCAGGTGGATGGAGAGCTGATTAGGACGCTGGAGCAGGATGTGAAGGCAAGTGTTAATATCAGCAACGTTTTACAGAAAATGTAAACTGAGTTCACAAAACGGCAGGATGACGGCTGAGATATGAGGTGTTAGTTTACTGGCGTTGAACTTTTCATTTATTTTTCTTTCTATTCTGAAGAAAAAATTAAAGCTCTTTGCATTAGAAATAAAAATTGTATTAGGTGGCTTATTTATTTTTCAGTTTGGCAGCACCATGCTAGCCATAAAAAGCTAATAAAATGGACCAAAAAGTTAATATTTTCTAAAAAAAAAAAAACCTGTTCTGTGTTAAATAGAAGCCAATTTAAACTTTTTATTTTTTAAGAGGAAGAATAGTTCAAATTGTTAATGCAGATCTAGTTAGCTATTTGCAAAATAGATAGAAATGTATTTGCTGTTGGGCTTTCAGCTAGTTTTTGGAACAATTCTTTTTTTAAGTTGGGCAAAAAAATGTAACTTTAGCATTGAATGAATAGTGTCTTTAACTGTGTTAAAAACCAAACAGATTTATGGGCGGCGGCAGTGGAGGAGTTAAGCGAGTGATCCATGTTCAGAGGCTTTGGTCCTCCATGTGGCTTTCACCGGCCGGGTGACATTTGCCAGATGTTTTCCCCTCTCTCTAATCCCATTTCCTGTCTGCCTATCTTTGAGAAATACAAAAATAGAGCCGTAGAACCTAAAAAAATTTTGTAATACAAAGCAAAAATCCCCCCCACCAAAAAACAAAACAAAAAAAAACAAATATATTATCTGTTTTGATGACTTTTTTTTTTAAATTCACAGATAACCATAAAATATGATGGTCCTTCATCAAATTAAACATAAAACCAATATATTTTTTGACTGAAATAAGAAGCTTGTTGGAGGCTAACTAAACACCCCAGATTTAAATCTAATCTAATCTAAAAAAAAAAAAAAAAAGTGAATTTCTCTGCTGTGAGATCAATAAAGCTCATCTAATAAAGCAGAACCATTTAAATGGCTTTGTTTCTTAACATGGACTCTGCTTTTAAATATGGTTCCACAAACTCCCAGTACATCCTGTCACATACACAGTAAATTTAGAAGTGGAAGTTCAACTCCCTTGGGGTAAAGTTGCCAGAGCTTGAACAGCACTCTGAATAGGTGTAATTTAACACTTATCAGGATTAAAATGATCTAAAATGAGTTTGTAGTGTCAAAGATGAACACCACACTAGTGTTAATCATTAACAGTAGTGAGCTGCATTGAAACCGAGGCTGAATCAGTGGAAAACTGACTGACCGCTGTATAAATGCACCACCTGGCCCTTTGTTCACCATCAGCAGCCAGTGCAGGTGACACAACGACTAAGATGGTCTGAGCTGCTTAAACCGATGACTCTCCAGTTTTCTGACGAACATTTGATGCTTTCAGTGCATGCATACTAATACACGTTTTCACAGATGGAAATTCTCGGTGTTAATTCAATCCTCTTGTCATTTTTGGCAAAATGGTTCAGCTTACGTAAAGTTTTACTACGGTTGTGTTAGAAATAACGTTTCAGAGTGAGACTTAAATTATTGAAGCTTTCAGTTTATATCAAATTTATATAAACGTTCTCCCCCTGCGTCGATCCTTGTTTCATTTTCTGAAATAAAGGGATGGCATGAGGCTATGTTTGCCAGGCTGTGTTTCAGGTAGGCTGAAGGATGCTTAAAGAAACCTGAAGCACCTTAGTAGGAGTTTCAGCTAGCCTCATCTTTTCTCACAAACACAGTCCCTCCAGAAACCCTTCATAGCCACAGATACAGTTAATGCAAGCGTCCTTCAGAGCTCTGCAAACACTCTGCAGTCATCCCAGTCACTTCAGGAATCCCTGATAAAGACTTCAGAACATAAACACTAAGTGAATACAGGCTGTTTTAGAGACTTTTGTCACCCTCACCCTGGCCTGTGGATGCTCTTTGTTAAATTTCCAACGTTCCTCCAACATTTTCCACATCCAAGAGGACACAATGAGGTCTTTATACACTGAGAGGAGGAGAGAGAGAGAGAGTGTGAGAGCGCGAGGCCGTTGTGTCATTCGGAGGGCTTTCCGCCTGCTGCTGCTGTCTGTCTCTCTCTGCGCTTGTCTCACCATCTGGTTGTTTTTGGAAGAAGGAAGGATAGGAAGGGAAGAGATGAGAGTACATCCTGCGCGCGTGGAGTAAAAAGGGGAGGAGGAAAGGCTGTTTAAAAATTCAAATCAGCCAATCAGGGTGAAAGGATGAAATTAGGTTGGAGGAAAACAGAAATCAGCCTTTTAAGACAACATCAGGAGAAAACAACTTCCAGCTCAGATAGAGTCCCAGCTGTTTATAGGCACATCATTATATTTACAATGGAAACTTGATGATTTACATCATTGGAGGCGGTGCGCAGCCAGTGGTATTCCTGTGTGAAAAACACACAGAGAACAATGCATGTAAAGTATTTAATGCCCTAAAGAAGAAAGGCAGTGGAAAAGAGAACATTTTGCAATTAACTTTAATGTAAAGCTATTTACTCTGACAGGAACCTTTTTTAAATAATCGTTTTAAGGAAGATCTTTTGTGGCGTACTGCTTCCTACTTGCATTTCCTGTGTTAATATTGATCAGCTTTTTGTGGAAATAATAATACCGTAATAGAAACTTTATTGAACTCACATTGGATAAATTTACCTCTGCATTTAACCCATCCACTAGGGGAGTAGTGGGCTGCCATCGTGGGGCGCCGGGGGAGCAATCGGGGGTTAAAGGTCTTGCTCAGGGACCCAGAGTTGCAGTCTGTGGGAGTGGAGCTCGAACTCAGAACCTCAGGATAGCAAGCTCTATGCCCTAACCACTAATGCCCTAATTCTTTAAATATTTCTATAGGCAAAGCCTGCATCTGTTCTTATTATTGGAAATGATGAAACAGGAAAGAGGAAGAAAAACTATCATCTGACCCCTTGGTGTCTTCCCCACATGGTTGATCGTTGCTCCCTGGCAGCGAAGCCTTAACCTCAAACTCCCGGTGGAGTTACGCCATGCTGCTCAGGGTAGCTGCGTTCGTCTCCCGTTGTTTGTGTGCGTGTGCATTAAGCCTCTGCTAATCTTCTCATATTATCGCTCCTTATTCTGGCAGCTCAGTCATTATCTTTAGGAAAACAGAGGCTCTCCCTTCACTTCACTGTGACTCAGCTTTCCTGGAAAAGCACTAAATAATAATGAGTATATAAAGAGCTATAAAATAAGTAGATGAGCGTTGTTGATCGGGGGGAGCAGCTGTTGAAGCTCTGCCATGCAGATTTAGAAAGTAAAACCTGTTTCTGTAGAAAACTGATGGCTTTGGGGAGAATCTCCTGGTTTTCTGTCAAGTGGAAAAGAGCCAAGTTAGCCATCTGTCTGCAGCGCTCCCTTTTCTATAGAATTTTTATCTAGAGCAAAAACTCCAACAGTATGCTGTTCAAAAATACCCACCCTTAGGCAATCTGTTTCTGATATACCAGTACACATTAGTTATGGGCTGTTTTTATATTTCTGGATGGTATCGACTTAAGGTTTTCTTTAGGGTCTTGTATAATAAATTTAACTTTAACCAAAAATAATTCTTTTATCTTGAGGATAAAAGAAAAGCAGATCTAATAATGTGCTGCAGGTGCTTTGACAGCAGAAGTAGTAGAAAGCAATGAAGTATAACACAGTTTAAGCTTATTTCCATCTATGAATTAAAGTTTATGCCCACAACCTTTATCTTATTTTAATACAACAATTGAAGTTAATCAGAAACACTTACTCCTTTCCTGATATATATCTGACATGGTTAAAAGCTTTGTTGCTTTTTCTAAATAGGTCAAAGAAATCTGATACTTTCCCATTAGATGATATCAAAAGAGAAATGATTAGATTGAATCTGTGGCTAATTTGCTGGTGCAGATGAGTTGAATGAATGAAATGTTTGATCAAATGCATGTTAAGAGGAGGTCTGGACCTGCAAAAATATTATTAGAATAAAGATGTTTAAAAACGAAATCATCCAACGCACTTTGTTCTGCTTAGTGCTTTGCAGCTCTAAGTCCAGGCTGACCTTAACTTACTCCACAGCTCTGTCCTGAGCTGCTTTATAAGAGTAAGTGGCTTAAATACTGTTGGCGCTTCAGGTTCCAGATTTGATGACTCACTCGCATGCAAATGCAAAAACAAATCAGCAAAAGCCTACATGCAAACTATCTGCTCTCTCTGAACTCTTTACTCTCGGTTTGTGGAGTCCAGGAGCTGCATAAAATAAAATAAAAAGATTTTTGTCACATGGATGTTTGGTGATGAGGAACGTCCTGTTATGGGGATCACATGCTCTAACTTGTGTCAGTTTCAGACGTCCTGTGTTGGTCTCTTGCATGCACATGACCTAGCGACGCAATGTTTGTGTTTGTGTGAAATGTGGAGAGCGGTCGGTGTGGTGTGGAGCCATCACATTCTCCATGAGAACATCTCACATCATTTCCTGTCCTGCTCTCATTCCCACAGGCTGCAGACATCTGGACACGCACTCACTCACACACCCACTCACCCTAAAGCATAAAAGGAAATAGTTGTTGGTATTCTCATGGAACCAACAAGCATGACTTTATTGAAGGGGATGATGCTATCAGACATCTCTATTACTTTAAGGGTTTACTGTCTGATTTCTGTTTAAAAGCAAATATATCCTTTGTTTTGTTGCAGACANTTTTGTATATCTATGCCATGTTTCTTTGTGTACAATCTGCCGTTTTGCTTTTCAACAACCGCTTTTCATAAGTACTCAACATTTTTAAATAACTTTATACATCCTATCAGATGCTATCATTCTTTATACTCTGAGAAGTGGAGAGAAATTGCCTTATAACCAGAATCAGATTATTTCAGCTATCCTCCCATAGGAAAAAAAAGCACCATATCTAAATGCTAGCAGGTCAGGGTAACAACATGGTTCTGTTCGGATGCTAGTGTGGAGTCTGAAACATTAGATGGATGCGATTTACAGTATCCAAATACGTTGCA